GGGCGGACCCGGCCTGGCCCCGGCGTCCCCTCACTCGTGTGTCCCATCTCCTCGTGCCCCATCACTCGTGTCCCACCCCCTCGCACCCTGCCCCCTGGTGTCCCATCCCCTCATCACTTGTCCCCTCACCTCCCGTCAGTCATGTCCTCTCACTCGCGTCCTGGCCCTTGTGTCCTGTCTCTCGTGTCCCACCATCCCTGTTCCGTCCCCTCATACCCTCACCCTCATGTCCCGTCCCTCACATCCTGTCCCCTTGTGTCCCATCTTCTCATGTCCCACCCCTCACACTCCATCCCTTGTGTCCCGTCCCGTCACTCGTGCCCCGTCACTCACGTCCCATCCCCTCACGCCCTGTCCCCTCGTGTCCCATCACTCATGTCCTTCCCCTCGTGTCCTGTCCCTCACACTTTGTCCCTTGTGTCCCATCCCCTTGTGCCCCATCCGTCATGTCCCATCCCCTCATGCCCTGTCCCCTCATGTCCCATCTTCTCATGTCCCACCCCTCACACTCCATCCCTCGCGTCCCCTCACTTGTGTTGTGTCACTCGTGTCCCATCTCCTCTTGCCCCATCATTTGTGTCGCATCCCCTCACACCCTGTCCCCTTGTGTTCCATCACTCATGTCCTTCCCCTCGTGTCCTGTCCCTCACACTTTGTCCCTTGTGTGCCATCCCCTTGTGCCCCATCCGTCATGTCCCATCCCCTCATGCCCTGTCCCCTCATGTCCCATCTCCTCATGTCCCACCCCTCACACTCCATCCCTTGTGTCCCATCATTCATGTCCCATCCTTTCACGCCCTGTCCCCTCATGTCACACCCCTCATGGCCTGTCCCTCATGCCCTGTCCCCTTGTGTCCCGTCCCCCCATGTCCCCTCTCACCCCACCACCCTCCATGGCTGACACCACACACGGATTTCGAGCGCAGAACCGCTCCAAGATGGCCTTTTATTACAAAGTCCACCACCGATCTGTGTCCTCGGCAGCTCTGCAGCTCCAGGGCGGGTTGCAGCCGGCGTGGTGCGGGGGCCATTAGTTGGTGCGAGGCCTGTTGCTCCCTCCCATGGCGATGAACACGTCAATGGGGATGTTGGGCAGCGTCAGGCAGTGGCTGCCGGGGCATCGCCGCAGCTGTCTGTGGGGAGAGAGTGGCGTGAGCCCAGTGGCGCGGCACGGGCCGGCATGGCACAGCATGGCGTTGTCTGATATGGCATGACACGGGCCGGCATGGCATGGCATGGCACAATATGGCTTTGCCTGATACGGCATGGCACGGCACGGCACAGCACGGCATGACACCGGCCCGCATGGCATGGCATGGCACAACATCACATTTTCTTCGATGGCATGGCATGGTACGGCACAGCATGGTGGTGTCTTGTATGGCACGGTGTGGGGTGGTGCGGCATGGCATGGCCTGGCACAGCACAACATGGCATTGTCTGATACGCATGGCATGGCTCGGCATGGTACGGCATAGCATGGCACGGCACGGCATAGCATGGCATGGCACGGCACGGCATGGCATGACATGGGCAAGCATGGCATGGCATGGCACAACATGGCACGCTTTGATATGGCGTGGCATGGCAGAGCATTGTCTTATATGGCACAGCACGGCATGGCACAGCACAGCACGGCATTCTCTGATGTGGCACGGCACGGCATGGCACAGCACGGCGCAACACATCACAGGACGCTGCCAGCCCCGTCCCAGGCAAGGAGGGCTTCCAGCCATCAGAAGACACTTTCAGAAACAAAACAAGCCACGTTTGCCGGCACAGGGACCTGGTCTGTGTGATGGGGACATGGCATGGCTGTGCCAGGGCCGGACCCTGCCCCCCACGGGGTGTCCTGGTGCCCCCTTTACCTTCCCACAGACTGCTCGGTGTCTACCGGCTCCTGCGTTTCGGAGGGCACAGCCAAGGTGGGACAGTCGCCTGCCTCGATGGGGAACCTCGGCGCCTGAGGTGTCTGCTGGGAGCTCATGTCCGAGCCCCGGATTTAACTGAGCGGAGAGAAGCCGGCGGGTGAGCCGGGCGAGCACGGCCTCCCCCAGCAACGGCGAAAACACAGGGGGAACACAGTGGGGACCCCGACCACCCCATAACCAGCAGTGCCCACCCCGAGAGCCCCCACTCACCGAGAGGATGTTCCTGCCTGTCTCCCACCCCGCTGCGCACCCACCACCTGACCAACGCAGCGTTGGCTGCATCACAATAGCACTCCCGGGCTGTAAAGGGTCCCTTTGTGCCCCCCTGGGATGCTGTGGGTGCCCCCCAGGGTCGCTGCGGGATGATCTGAAGGTGGGAAGTGTCCCAGCCGGCATGAGGACATGGAGGGGTTTTTGCTTGCCAATGGCTACCAGCTGGGCAGGACCATTGGGGAGGGGACCTACTCCAAAGTGAAGGAGGCTTTTTCCAAAAAGCACGGGAAGAAAGTGGCAATTAAAATAATAGATAAGAAGGAAATGCCAGAAGGTAAGAGGTGACCCCAAAAGAGTTCCAGGCTGAGGCAACCGTCCATCCTCAGGGGCTTTTGATTGCCAGCTAGTTTCCCACACTTGCCACCCAAGAGCAGATGGGAGTCAGGGGGTGTGTGCTGGGGGGGTCCTGCTGATCAGCCCGGAGACTGTGGCCCAGAGGATCAGGACGTGTTTAGGTGGCCGCCCCTCCGACTGCAGGGACTGCAAAGTGCTGGCGGAGCCCAGCACCCCCTGCGACGAGCAGCCCTCGAGGAATGGTGCCTGGCCGTAAGGACCAGGCACCCCGATAACGACCTGCCCTCCCTCTACCGCGTCCCAGAGGGGTGCCCGGAGCCAGTGGCTCGGGGACATCCCTGTGAGCAAACCTCCCCTTCCTCTCTCGGCAGAGTTTATTCACAGATTCCTGCCCCGGGAGCTCCAGATTGCCACACGCTTGGACCACAGGAACATCATCCGCGTGCACGAGACGCTGGAGTCTGCAGAGGGGAAGATCTGCCTTGTGATGGAGCTGGCGGAGGACGGGGACATCTTTGACTATGTGCTCCGCGAGGGTCCCCTGCCCGAGACTCACGCCAGGGCACTTTTCCGCCAGCTGGTCGAGGCCATCCAGTACTGCCACGGCTGCGGGGTGGCCCACCGCGACCTCAAGTGCGAGAACGCCTTGCTGCACGGCCACACCTTGAAGCTGACGGATTTTGGCTTCGCCAAGCGGCTCCCCAGGGACAGCAGGGAGCTGAGCTGGACCTTCTGCGGCAGCACAGCCTACGCAGCACCCGAGGTGCTGCAGGGCGAACCCCACGACAGCTGCAAGGGCGACATCTGGAGCATGGGCGTCCTTCTCTACGTCCTGCTCTGTGCCCGCCTGCCCTTCGACGACACCGACATCCCCAAGATGCTGCACCAGCAGCAGAAAGGCGTCTCCATCCCTGGGCACCTGGGCATCTCCAAGGAGTGCCAGAACCTCCTCAAAACACTCCTGGAACCAGACATGACGCTCAGACCCTCCATCGATGGGGTCAGCAGCCACCCGTGGCTGACTCACCCCTGAGAAGGACTGGCCCTGCTCTCCCCAAATGGAACAGATTGTTTCTAAAATGGTGATAAATTTGGAGGACAGCGTTTCCCATCTATCCAGCCTCGCAGGTGGCGTGCCAGGCCTCTGGCTGGCAGAGATAAGGTCTGGTTCATACTCGGGTATTTTTATCGGCTCACTCAAAGCCAAAGTCAGTGGTGGTGAAGGGGGCAGACACGGGCTCCGAGCACCTTCCCCAGTCACGTAAACAGGAAGGAAAGGGAAATTTCAAGCTTCTGACACACAGACCCTCTTGGGGCAACCGTCCCCATCCCTCAGGCACAGGAAACAAGAACAGCCGACACAGGCAGAGACTCTGTAGAATTCCTTTAATTGCTGTTAACTGCAAGTCTGTAAAAGGTTTGGAGAAAGTCATTGTTACAAAACTACCAGCTGTTAGAATTGTTCCTGGTTTTCACCCCAGCTAGAAAAGGCTCAGGGAGATGCAAAATAGTTCAGAACAGAGAATATTGCACAGACAACCAAACGGTTAATTTGACTAAAGAAGGAAGGAAAAAAAAAAAAAAAAGAAGTGACACAGATGAGAGCACTGCACCCTCAGTCGGAGCTCTGCCGCAGGCCCAAGGATCCAGCCGCGACTCGTACCACCAAACCCTGAGGGACCGCAGCCCCCGGCCCCCAGCCCTGACACCCCATGGGGGTCACCTCCCCACAGCAGCTTCTCCTGCCACAGCTAAATTGATGCCCAGGACAGGGTGAGGCTGCAGCACATTTCAGAGGCTCTGCGGGACCCACCGTACACCAAGCTCAGTCCTCGGCCCCTGTGGGCTTTGCAGGACAGACGCGCTCTCGTGTAAGTGCCTAAAGTCACCGCTGCCACCAATCCACCTGTGCAGGCAGCTGCATTTGAGAATCTCCCCAAAGAGGGGGGTAAAAAAAAAACACCCAAAACCCCAACTCTTCCAAGTGTGCCTAGGTTAATGCTATCCAAAACCAGGAGGAAACCCACAGCTCCGATGAAGCAGCCCTGGAAGAGGCAGAAGGACAAAGGTAGCGTGTATAAAACCACCACGGGGAAGGCCAGAGACAGCAGCGGGCGCTCTGTCCCTTCAGGATCACTGTAATTAGCAACATCCACTGAGGAGCATCTCATGCCATTAGAAGGGAACTGCCTGGAAAAGAGAGGCCGTGGGTCCAAAGGAAGCATTGCGAGCAGTCACAGGGAGTTAAAGTGAAGGAACCCAAGTGAGCACAGCGAGGCTTGTGACCCTGGTGGCCACGGGGCCTGGCGCTGGTGGGACGCAAGGGGTCAGATGAGGGACAGACACAGCCTCAGCCAACAGGTACCACCCGCACTTGGGTACTTCTGCCTCCCGCCAGGCTGGGAGAGGGAAGGGGCCGAGCCTCAGTGCCAAGGCAGAGGTGAAAGCGGTCAGTGGGCCAAACTGGGGATTCACAAGGGCTGAACTGGGCACTACAATGGATGGGTTCTGCTCCCAAGGTGACCCAAATCACTGCCTGCCCAGAAGAGCTCCAGTAAGAGCAAGCCACAAGTATTTTGCTTGGGAAATTTAACTAGAAGTACACAAAACCCAGCAGAGGAAGGCAGCGCAGCTGCAAAGGGGAAAGCAGCAGGTCTTGGCTCTTAGAGGAGCTGCTGCTCTTGCAGCAGGAAACCAGAGTTTCCATTAGAAAAAGCTTCCAAGACGAAAAGCCAGGCAGAAGCTCAGGGTTTGGCAGGGAGTTTGGCTCCTTCCAGCACAGCCCAGCTTTGGGTCAAAGCCACAAGCCAACTGCCTTTCTTTGCAGCGATGAGTGAAGAGCAGAAGGAGCGTCTACTGTAGCATCTCCAGCCCCTGGCCAGTCCCTGCCATGGGGGCTTTCTCTGGGGGTGGCCTGGCCAACAGCGTGGAGCAGCGAGCGAGCAGGCACAGCTTGCATCCAAGAGCCTTTGAACTGCTGTACTGTAGATTACGTGCGCGCACACAAGCAAACAATAAGCCAGCACCAAACGATCCTGCCAGGTGTCTGAGTGCCCAGCTCGCCACGGGGACCTCTCACTGCATCACATCTGGCTCTACCCGACGCTTTCGGGGCAGTCAGTTTTGGCTTGGCCAGTCTCTAGGACCTACTGAGAAGATGGGCTCCCTAGCAGCTAAGTGTACAAGGTAACTCCTGCTTCCTCCTCCTCCTCCTCCAGCTCTGAAGGGGTCACTTGAGATGCCCAC